GAAAGACCTGAATTTACCCTATTCACACATCTTTACTAATCATGTATTAATCATTTGTTCATGTTTTTGCAAGTAGCCAATCTAAAGTAGAAACTATTCATCATTTGTAAATGTTTATAAACGATTACTAATCATTTAGTATCTTTATGGGCATTGGACTTTTAGCTTATGTAACAAGGTTTGTGTAAAGGCTGGCTGGTTAAGTTTAGCTAATTGCTTGCTAAAGACATAACAGATTGTAATTTTGGTACAAAAAATATTTTTATTGCCTCAACACTTACATTAGTACACTACTCTTCAGTATATCATTAAACAGGTGACCCTTTAACCAACCCTTAAACCTACCCATTCCACCAAACCAGTCCCTAACCTTACCCGTATAACACCTCAATAGCAGTAAAAGTGTTGTGCATTAACACAACACTTATAATAACATCTGTTAAAATCATTTGTAGATTTTCAATAAGTGCTTGATCATATGGAATTGAAAGTTTAATGACATTTGTCAGCATTTTAACTTACATGAATTAATGATTTGTTTGAGCATTATCTAATGTTTAATAAGTTTATTAGCAAACATTAACAAGCACATTATCTCATGTTTCTAACTCTCTGAATATATATTAACTAATGATCCATTAAGCATTATATAATGTTTGTTAATGATTTATTAATGAAAGTTATTATAAAGTGTTACCAAATATTTTTTTTCTAACAAAAACTAAACTGTAGATTAAATAACTTCCTTCAAACTGAACATACCTTGTATGTTAGTCAAGTTATTAAGGTAATGTTAACCAAAAACGACTAATTACCTGTGAGAGACCTAAGCAAACATAGTATCATTACATGGCTGTTTGACTGGTCTTCTGAGATCTGAGAGATGGAGCTGTTTTATAGTGGATTTAAAACCTAATCACAGCCAGCAGCTTTAACTCAGTGCCATCAAATACAGAGTACCACGCAACTCCATGTCTTTGAGTGTGAAACACTGAGAAATAGTCAGTGAACCAGAGCTGTTCATAAATATCTGGTTGCTGCAATCAAAATCACACTGGGCAAAATGTAGCCCTTTTTTTCTGCTTTTTAGTTTCCTCCCTCACCCACTCTCCTCCTAACTAAAAGTGTTAAGTGATTGTGACCAGTATGGAGAATTCCAGAAACAAAACATGCCTGTGATTAACATTACAAAGTAGACTGTTTCTAGACAACTGCATCATTAGGCAAAGAGCGCCGAGTGCTGAGAGTATCCCAAGGTCACTTTTAATTTGGACCGTCTAATTGGCAAACATAGTTCCAAATGGCTATCATCTAGCCAGACTCAGAATTAATGAAGCACAATTATTTTCATTACCCCTATCTTAGACAGACAGAACATTAGACATAGAGGGAGGGAGAGCGAGAGAAGAGGAAGAAGGAGGAGGTAGAGTGAGTGGAAGAGAGTGCGTGTTTATGCAATGTTTGCAAGAAATAAAAGTCACCTGATTCAGAATTCATTAAGCTTGTCTGCCTGCCACGAGGAACAGGATAGAGTACCTCTCCATCTCTCGTTACTTGTAAAAAAGGTGCTGGTTTTAATGTGCATTGTATTAGCTCAGTTTCTATCATGCACTGCACTTGTACAGCGCTCTGTGCGTTATTACCTCTATAAAAGAAAAAATATTGTCGTCTGGCCTCTACTAATGTGTTCACCATTTGCTTTCGGGCTGGGGGAGAGGAGATGGGGGAGTGGAGATCACCGAATTCAGAGTGATTGGCCAAGCAAGCAATTAAAACACCACAGGCAAACTTACACATAATTATTCCACTGCTAAAATTCTGTGAAAAAAACCCCCATGAAAGCAGGGTAGTCTCAGTAGAAGCTGAAATGGAATAAGGTGAGTATTCTCTGAGGGACCGGGCAGTCTAGGCTGCTGGAGGCCTGAGCGCTCCGGGACTAGAGAGGTGGAAATAATGTAAAGGGATGATGTAAGTATTACTGCTTCGAGTGAGTGCCTGGAATACAAATGACCTTGGTAATCACAAGAGGCTTTTATAATTTTTCCACTAAACCGAGAACATTTCTTTTAAAGTTAAGAATTACAATATTCATCAATTTTCTACAAACCAACTGTTTCTTCTAATCAACACTGAAATTAAGTAGAGAGCAAATCAAGGCTTGCGTAAGTCTACTGGTTTGCAGATTTTTTGCCTGAGAAGGCCATAGTAATCTTATATGTCTTCTAGAGTTTCAGAGATCTCAACAGTGTCACAAAATGTACTCTGATCTGCCAAGATGATGTCTGCGATCAAAAGTGAGATTTTTAACTGAGATCTCAATGAAGTCCCCTGAGGTAAAAATGAGCAAAAAAACTTTTGGGAATGTAAACTTGTAATAAAACAGGGAAATTATATTGACCATAGTAATACATAACCAGTGTTACACCTAGGGATGTAACGGTATGAAGCGCTGTCACTGCCTTCCGCCATTTCGTCTCGTGCAAAAAACAACAGCAACAACATTGCATGCTTCTTCTGCGTCAGACTGGTGCTGGCTGGACAGGATTTACCGCGAGTTTTCAAAATCGCAATAATCAAATACGGTTTTGATGATAATTAAATTTTAAACGATAATACTAACCGTCAGGGCATTTTATCGTGATTTATCGTGAAACCGGTAATCGTTCCATCCCTAGTTACACCCAGCCATGTTCAAGCTTTTGCCTTCCACATCTTATTTTGAATATACAGGATTCCCAAGGGCCATATCACAATGATCAGTTTCCTTTGGCGATTTTAAATTAAAATTAAAATTTTCTTAAAATTTCATCAATTAGACAGAAAGAAACAACCTTCGGTCCACAAAGGCAGAGTGAGTAAGAAACTGTGAGTCATTTGTGAGGTTGATGACATGATTACTACTAAACATTGCAGTAAGGCTACGCTGCTTTGTGTAAAAAGCATATGGCCTTCACACCACACAAAAGGGCAGTCAGGCCTTGCATGAAAACAATAGTTCCCAGAAAGAAATTAACTGGGCTTAATGAAAATCCATCCACTAGAGAGACTGAATGGGAAATATTTAGAAAGGTTCTTTTGACTGTGGAAGTAAAATAAACTTGTCTTGGACATTGATTAGAGGAAACAAATGCATGCATATGAAATGGAAGGCAAAGTCTGCTGTGATCACCCCCTAAATACTCTTCTGCGGTAACTTACTGTGGCAATTAACTTGTCGACGCAGTCTGGTGCCACGCTGTGGAGGTGAGTGAGATGGAACTGCAGGTGGACCTTGTTGTTGAGCATGTCCTGGCACAGCGGGCAGCGGAACATGGGCTGCACTGAGTGCTGCGTCATCACGTGCATTCTGAGCCGGTTCAGATCTGTGTTGCTGAACTTGCAGTAGGGGCACTGGTACATCTATATAATGACAAGATGGAAGAAAAATAATATTATTTTCTAGAGAAGAGTGGTACTATCAAGGGCAAAGCAAGGCGAATCTATCTCCCATGCAGTGAGCAGTGGGCTACTCTGAGAGGTAGACACTTCAAAGAGCTCTCATCTGTCAAATATCATATTACAGATGCAAGAGCAGCAGAAAAGATGGAGAAATATATTTTTAGAAAAAAAAAATGCATGCATAATTTAAAAAGGCCAGCTACATTCTACTACTCTATATTAAAAAGGGCTGAAAACAACATCCTTAGATATTTTGTTAATTAATGGGTACAGTTAATGAGACCTACATGCCTGGGGATTAGATTAGGTCTATCTGAATCTACTTCACAAAAACAGACAGAGAGAATTCTAAATGTTTCGCAGAGGCTGTAGATTTTCCTCCATACCTGCTCTTCACTGCTCTTCTCAGCGGTCCTGGGTCGTTTCGACGAGAGGGGGCTTTCTGCTGTCTCGGACCTCGAAGAAGGCCGCTTGGAGGGGACCGGGGAATCCGCCTGATCTCTCTCCGATTGGTTGGATGCTGTCATAGACACACAAAAAGAAGCATACTTGTCAAAACACAGTGCCGATTTGGCAGTCAGGGCATGCAATCAATCAATAAGCCAGCCTTTATAAAAATGAAACGCAGTAAAACTGCAGTTTTGTGTCGTATAATGATGCTGTACTGTACAATGGAAAAAATGTACCACAGTTAAAATGGCTTTTATGAGGCCTGCTATTCTGAGTAAAAGCAGACTAAAATGAAGATGTGGTAACAAATTAACTTGATAATGCTAGCTTAACCTACAGTAAAAGTCCACTGAATGTTGAAACAAAGCATAATTCTTTAACTTTGGTTTAATGATACTCAAGGAACATGTGAAAGTCTGACTTTTTTTTTTCCAAGATATTTGTGTTCATACACATTTTTATGCTCTGGATAGCTACAACAGTGAGTGAATACAGGAACTGGAGTACGCAGTGCAATAGTGCATGTGTAGTAATGTGAATTAAATATATTTCTGCAGGTTTCTCTATTTCAGTAAAAGCGAGGTAAACAAATGCTGAGCATTAGTGTTCATGTGGTTCAAATCTGACTGGTGTCATATCACCATGCCATATGCTGTCATATCTTCACTTACTATGTTGATATCATGGAAAATATGGATGCAGCATTACAGTAGTTTTTAGTACTGATGTTACCACACTCACGGTACAATTAAGAAATTGCAGTCATTTTTTGTAAGGAAGTGAGTAGCATGCCTTTCTAAACTGTGATATATAGGCATTGAACAGGTAACAGCCAGGCCGGCGGATTGCTAAGGCAGGCTGCTTCCCCTCCAAACCAATGTAGTCTCTTAACCGCTCCTCCCATGGCACTTAGAAGAGGCAGTGCGCAATGCTTTGACGGCTTGTCTTTCCCTATGTTGGATGTTTAGGACATCAGACACCGGCACAGACATCTAATCAAAACATTAGTTTGCCACGGTGAGCAGCTTTAGGATGCATGCTCTCTCAGATGAAGCCATTTGAAGTGTGGCTTCAGCGAAGGGATTCGCCCAACTTGAAAAGAGTCAAATATACCACAGGCGGCTTCAAAAAGTATCAAGAAGAAAGAGTTCTGTTCTGGTTCCTATTTCGATTCTTTTTCGTTGCTTATTTGCACCTCTCATTGGAATACGAAATTACATTCTCTAGTTATTTCAGTTTTCAGCAAATCTTATAGTTTTGCATGCGATTCTTGTTGCTTGTTTGAGAAAAGACTCTACACAAACTAGCCAGTTATGTAAGTTGGGTGCTAATATTGAATCTATTGCAGCTCGTATAAAAAGTAAATCCACTCTAAGCCGGAGAGGGGTCGAGAGAGCACGTTGTTCACGCTGCTAAGGGAAAGAATTCGCAGTGAAACTTAAGACGCCCCTCTCTCTCCCAGGCCCATAACGAGGCTATAAAGAGTTAAATTTGGCATGATTTGTCCAGTCCTGAAAGGGCAAAATTGAGAGCAGGGGATTGTGGGGAGGGGTGTGGGGGTCAGTTTAAGCCGAGCTGACCATGTTCCTTGGGCAGACATTAAAGTGTCAGGTCCAATCAGGGCAGGGCAGCTGAGCGCTGGCTTCAGTGGGGGACCCTACTTTGGGGAACGCTGCCTGCTGCAGCTCCCAGAGACTTCCCCAATCAGCCAGTGCTGCCCTATTAGGTCCAGTCATGGCCAATTCCATTAGACACATCCACCAATAAACAAAGGAAATGTTAAACAAAGGAACCTCCTATTCGTTGCCATTAACCTCTACTTTTGGTCCTGGCACTGTCCCGGCTACTTCCTCCTTTATGCACTGCTCCTCTGTGGCCGTCTGTGTCAGCCCCTTGACTCTTCCTAGCCCATCTATCATCTGTCTATCCGATTTCTTTCAGGAAACCCCTTTTCAGGTGCCTTGAATGTTCCTGGATCAACATCCTTGGTAACCAGAATTTTCCACCAAAAACAGCTGTAGTTATTTTTACTACAATAAAACTGCGGAAACATATTATTAGCCACCACTGTCATCAAAAACAAGCTGCTAATGCTATTTAAAAGACAAGCTATAAGTTTAACTAAAACTGCAGCAGCTGTGGTATTTTGGTGGTTACCATGGTACATTTTTGTTAGGGAGTTCAGGGATAGAGAGCAAAGTAGGCAAAGTGGCTAAAGCTACTTTAAAACAAAGAACGCTTTATCTAATGCTTTTATGCTAAATACATGTAAATAAATCAACAAAACAATTGCCTGTGACTCTAAGTATGATTGAAAAGGGCTTAAGTACACTTTCACTATTATTGAATATTTTTTAATTGTAAATTCTGTCTAACAGACAATTGCACGTGAATAACCTGAGGTCAGGGGAGCAGCTGCCTGCCGGAGGCCTGCAGCACGTGTGGAGGGGAGGGTATCCCGCTGCCTCTGGGCACAGACGTACCTCGTCACGCCCTGTTAGGACTCCATAAATCTGATCAATTGTTTGCTTTTAAAAAGCCCCAAAAACCCACTTCTGCCACCAAACCCCTGTGACTAAAGCCCAGCTACCGTATCCTGTTTTCTGTTGTCAAGAGACGGAGGGAGAAAGCGGGGAAAAAACATCATCACAGAGCACGCTGGAATAAAATGGAGACCAATAAACAGGCAAAGAAAGGGGACTGTTGGCATGTGCAATGTGTGTGTCTTCGGCACGGTTGGGCGGCCGCAGGAACATGCCTCAACATCTGAGCAGGTCAGATCCATTATTAGAGTCCATGACCATAACCTGATGGCGGGGGTCTCTCTCTTTCTCCCCTCCCTTTCCCTGGTCTTTGCTCATGAACCTGGCTATGTGTGTCAGGCTCTGGTATGTTCACTGTGTACTAGTGGGTTTTCAAAGGGTACGGGTTTTATATATTTAACACAATTTAAGAAACCATGAAAGGAGATGAAGACAAAATTAATTAACCTAATCAAAAATACATACATACATACATATACATACATACATACATATATATATATATATATAGCTATTATGAGATTATTTTTATCAGCTAAAGTTAAAAGCTCAATATGAACAGATACAAATTATATCATATCACCAGATCATAAAATAATTAAGTATAAATAATAGCCAATAATCTAATAACCAATATAAATAATCACAAAATGGCTAATTATTGTATGAACTGAATAATTTCAAAATGCCCAAATATCATCTGACACTACTAATCTCAAAATGGACAAATTTTGGCTGAATCAGATTTCAAAATGGTCAAAAATAGCCTCTAAATAGCCACTATAGACAGTCTCAAAATTTCAAAACATCAACCTAATGAGTATTTATAACATAACTGGTATTCAGTACATGTCTAAAATTGACATTCCTTCCCAGAAACACAGCATTACACAAAAACTACTAACAATTTCTGGAGGTATTTTCTTGTTTTTAAAGCCACACTGTTTTTAACAGGAGGTAGTGGGAACTACATCAGCCCGCCTGTGTGCAGTTCTTGACCCCGTGCCTTTTTAAAAAAACATCCTAATGTAGTATCTGTACATCTGACCTCAATTCTACCATTCAGCAGTAGACCGCACTTGCAGCAAAACCCACAGAGACAGCGACAACGCCCCAATTTTCATCTGACATCACAAAAGCCAAAGGAGGAGCAGTGAAAAAAGTCTTAAAAGTCAATTAGGTGATTATTAATTCATGGGCCTTTTCCGTAAGCAGGAGGTCTTTGTTCTGGAGTGTCCCATAAGTGAATTGGACTTTGGCACCTTCTCTCAACCCCTGGAGCTGAGAAGCATTTCTCAGCCAGCCAGAGGAGGCTGTCAGTGCTGAGTGCTAAGCCTCTAAATCAGAGACGTGAAGCGCTTTCATGGAAGGGAAGCACTGCAGAAGTGTTTGACTGACACAAGCATGGCAGCAGTAACGCAACAAGTCCCGTGCCACTGAAAATGTCCACAGATGTAACCACAGCTGCCATCATATCATTACCCAGGTGTCCTTTGGGAAGTCAATCTCCTACGAGACTAACTGGACACTGAAAGTGGGCGGACAGGGAAAGAGCAGAAAGATGATTTCTCGTGGCATATTGAGTGCAGCATGTGCATTTGCAAAAAATTCAACAGAGCTCTGGAGATGTGCTCCCAAGAAGGCAATGGAAATGTCAAGTTGTCAATTTTTCTTCACCTTATCCAGTTCAGCTTTTGAATCTAAAAAAGGCAAGTCATCAACATGTTCTATGGTGGTTTAGTGCGTACAAAGTCTGATGGACCAAAGGTGATCAACCAGCAAGGTCCTTCAAGGTAAGCTCGTTGACCATGTATCTAGCTGGTTATGCTAGTTAAGAAGCCAAAACTACAACAAGGACAACAGCATCCCATGCTTCTCTTTTCAGGAGGTCAAACCTCCTCCGTCATTCTCCTTTCTGTCCTGCTTTTCTCCCCAGACCTTCTCTCCCTGCTCCTCATGACAGTTCTCCTCCCAGTCCCTCTGCTATTTAACCATTAATATGAAGGAGCGGTCCAACTCCCCAGTGCTATAAGTCATTCACTTTTACCATGGCTAACAATAACTGAATATTATCTTTTTCTGCTCATTCCCTCCCCCCTTTTCTTCCCTCCTTTTTTTAATCTGCAGGCTGTGTCGGTGCCCTGAGCAACAAAGGGCTATATTCCATTTCACCTCATATTTCTCAGGTAATTACTCTGCATCAATTAATTTCAAATAAAGAAAATTACAACCAAAGCCTAACGCCAACACTACTCCATATTGCGGCTTATCATATAACAGTTCCCTTGGTGTATAACCCACTATTAAATGAAAGGACCACCTCCACGGCTCTGCAAAGGAAGTGCCCATGTAACCCCACAGGCGTGACTGCTACAAAGACAAATTTAAAATGAAGAAATTAAAAGGAGATATCAATTAGTGGACGTGTTATTAATCTTCCGATAGCTAGGTGGGAGCTAACGCTGCAATCACCTTTAGAGGACATACACGCACTGACACACATATATGCCTCTCTCTCTCTCTCTCT